TATTATCTTATTTCTTTCTCATTTTTTTTTAAGAACCTAGAACTGGCAATGATATATGTCCAAGAGAAATCAGATCTGCCTTCAGAGAATTCCATCTTGATCCATTATTTACATCTCCACAACAAAGCGTAATTAATCCTGAACTCTGAGACGACAGCCGCAGCACTTCCAACACCACCACCACCACCGCCATCTACCAACCAATGAGAATAAAAGTCAAAACTATCAAATATCCTCGGAAAGGCTATATCACATTTTGGAAATGATCATAACACATAAAAAATAAATACATGAACAAATATATTTGATTCTCTTTTTAAAATGAAAAAAAATTTAGCGATTATTATTATTATTATTATTATTATTATTATTAATCCTAGCTTATTGGATGTTATTAGCTGTTTTTGCACTTATTGGATATCAAGCTACATACCGGAGTCTTATGTATCCAATGCTTTTTCGTGTTGTGCCAAGCAAACAAACCTTCTGCAAAGCATGGAAACTCACTGCTAGATATGTTTTCAACCAATGGGCAATATCCTCTGACACTGTTCCTAATTCTCCGATTACAATAAACACAATTTCTACCTTTCGGTAATTCCATATACGATTGATTTCATACTTTAAGTCTGTATAGTTTTCAGTATTCTACCATCATCATCATCATCATCATTGTTATCATTTTGATTATTATTGGTGGTGATGGTGGTGCTGGTGTGGTGGTGTTCCTAGTTTTCTTGATTTACTGTTTCATACAATCTCTTACGAAGTATTTTACCTGAGAAGAAAGGAGATTTTTTTCTTAGAAAGTTATTAAACAGATTAAGCGAGTTTTTTTTCCTATTTCTAAGGACGATTTTCATGAGCACAAACTTTTGCATCTCAAATAGAGATGTGATTTCTTGGGATTTTCTTAATGTGTCTAAAAGTATTCGTTAGAACCATTTCCAGTTCTATTATTACTGGAAGAATCGTTCTGTTTAAATGCCACATCTTTGCAATTTTTATTTCCAAATCGTAATTCAGGGTGTGATGCGTAAATTGCCGCCATATTATATCTTTAATTTCGCGCATGCGCGTTGTTTTTGTTTTTTTTTGTTTTTTTTTTTGTTTTTTTTTTCATAGTATAGTAGGGTCAGTTAAGCATCGTCTTTGAGAAAAAAGAGCACCACAACGCAATTCATTCCGCCAGAAATTTGTGAACAGCATACTTATCATTCATGCCGACTGCTCCAATACGAACTTTTGAGCGTGTTTGGGTGTTAATCCGAGAACAGTGCAGATGATTCAGAAAGAATCAGACGAGTCTAATGGTGATTTTGAAGGTACGAAAGCTCGAAAAACTCACTTTAATCGTTCTGATAAGAAAAGAACTGCCGAATGTGTTGGTAAAGGCCTCAGGCTCAACACAGAGGGCTACATCAAGTTCCTTGAGGAGGTTGTACTGCCCTGGGTCAGGATCTTTCCTCTTATGTCTTGCAACAAGACTCTACGCCATACCACATAATTGGGAGAACTCAGACATACATGTCAGACAATTTCTGCGGCCATTTCACCCCTTACATCTGGTCACCTAACTCCCCAGACTCTTAAACATCTTGATTATTATTTGTGCCTCATAGTTGAGCAAGAGACCAACAAAACTCCTTGTAACAATAAAGAAGGCAAGAATTATGGCAGCATTCATTTAAGCCAATGGCGATTTTATTGAATATCTCTACTCTTTAATATTTCAAGATATTTTTGTGTAATGTTGGTAAATATATCTGTTCAAATGAGATGTCAGTTGTATTTTCATTTTGGCGTCATTTAGACGACAATTTATCCATTGCACCCTATATTTTGATAGTCTGTCGAATTCTTTACTGAGATATTTTTATCAGATAGAAAGGCCATATCCATGAAATAGAAGTAATGTTTTTTGAAGTCATTTATTATTCTATCTGGTCTAATGTCTTATCTATTGCTGTCAGTATATAAGGTGAAGTGCCAGGGAACTGTAACATTTTCACCTTCTAACACTGGTGAGTCGTTGAATTTATAGCATTTTTCTGCATTCGTCTGTCCTCCATTGCAGGTAATTCCCTCTCCTGTTTTGTCTATATTTACATTCCTTTTGGAATAGAGAAACGATCCAAATATCATTTGCTCAATAGTTCCCTTTGTGTTCTTTGTGACATTTTGAATTTTGTCTCATTCATTGAAATCTGGTTGAATTCTTTTGGTAGGTTTTGATCTTAGACTGACGACCCATTTGTTTCTGGTTTCAACTTAGATCTCCCCCAGCCAATAGACAGAAATTTTGTTTGCATAATTAAACATATATAGTTTGCATTTGTCGTTCAAGCTCTATGCTGGTCAATGAAAATAAAAAAAATAATGACTTTTTCCAATTACACACCAATAACGAGACATGTTTTAATGATTGATAGATTTATTTAGGTACCTCCACGAGATCGCTAAAAAAAGAGCATAACATGATGAAAAAGACGCCAAACTTGACGAAAACAAAATTTTATCGTATAAATGTTTGTTATTATTAAGAGGAAAGGTCAAAGTATTTTTTAGGGGTTTTTTTCCATTTTTAATCGTTCCTAGCACGTCCGAAATTTTCGTTAAAATCTAGTTTTTTTGAGTCAGCAAAATTGACCATTTTTTTTTCCATTTAAAAAAATGGAAATCTGACTTTGAAATTTTTTTAAATATCAATTATCATTTTTTCAAAACTTATTTTATGAAAATCAGAAATTATAATGTTTATTTAAAATATTTTGAACCAAACTTAACTTAGCTTTTGTGCCAAAAAGATGTAATTTGAAAATAAAACAGAGCAGGTCATAAACTTTCGCGTCTCTTGACATGTGATGAATGATATATTTACGAATTCCATGAGGCTAATTTGTTCTACGGAAGGAGAAAAGTGAAATAATTTACATTTACGTGAACAAATTATTTACCCCGTTATTTTTAACGAAAACTTTCAGCGGTCTAATTTTTTTTTTTTTTTTTTGTACTTAGCTTTCACCTTTAGGTTTATGATGCTTTATGGGAAATATATTGTAAAGAAATTAAAATAAAACTGTTAAGAGTGACATTAAATTTCATATTTCTTAAGAAAGGTATCTAATTAATTTATAGGTACCTTTCTTATGAAATTTTATCAGAATTGTACATAAAATACTATAATTTTATGTACATTTATTACATTCTACTGTTATTTGTATTTGCATTCATTTTATTATTAATTTTGATATTTCATTTATGGAAAAATGTCGTAACTGAGATTGATATAAAAATAAGATCATATAAATTTCATAAGATGATACTGATACTTGTAGGTACCCTTCTCAGTTGAAATTGAAAAATCAAATTAACTTCTCTACACGTGTTTCGCAAAAGTAAAGGCCTTAATAGCAGAGAACAATGCTTAACTCAAATAACGCAACTTAATTATATTCTGGTTGGTCTTCCGTATTTTATAATTACAGCTCGATTATAAGCACAAAATTACATTTCTTAATTACTGGGTATCTTCTGATTAGTCAAAATGATACAATTTACAACGCGCTAAAAAAAGATCTATCTCATAAGGACACTTATGAAAGCAGATGCGGCTTTTAACTAATTTTATAATATTTTAACAACTTAAATGTAAAATCTATTATAATTAATGAAATAACAAATAATTGTATTAAAAATTCATTTTTCATCGAAAAATTTTTTTTGCTTTCAGAAAATATTGTCCATATTCATAAAAACAACTAAAAGCAAATAAAAAGCATTTGAAATTAAATAATATATTTGTTTTATTGAGTTTTGTATGTTACAATTCAGAGCTGATTTTCAGGTACTGCGTATCCAATTAAAAAAAAAAAAAAAAACATGATTTGCATTCCTCAAAGCCCTGTGCTTTTAATTATTGTAATCACTAAAACCGATGCGATCGAATTTCTAGCGTTTTCATAAAATTAGTTATGGGGGGGGTAATAAATATTTAAAAAAAATATTTCTACCATGACTTTCATAAAAAAAAACATATTTATAATAATTTCGATCATCTGTGAATAGTTTCTGAAAGTTTCATTAACATCCGATAATTATTTCTATTTTTGCACGATTTTTCAAATTAATGTGTGTCATACCAAAAAAACGTTCTAAAAATTGTCTATGTTATTTACTAGTTCCGCTGATACAAATAGAAAAAAAATTTTTTAATCAAAATTTAGAATGTTCTAAAAAGAAGGAATTTTTTTTAAAAATAATTAAAAAAAAACTTTGGTCTTTCCTCTTAATAATAACATAAGCATTTAGACAATAAAATTTAGTTTTCGGCAAGTTTGGCGTCTTTTTCATCAAGCTATGCTCTTTTTTTTAGCGATTTCGTGGAGGTACCTAGATTTATTTGTTTTTTTACGATTTATCAACCTTTATGGGTTATTCAAAGCCTAAACGTATTATCGATTGAAACTACTATTTTCCATATGAAAATTGTATTAACAATTTTTTGAAAAATGAAGAAAAATATTTCCAGATACAAGTCCTATTATTTAACACATATCTGGGGCAAGAGATGGATTTCTACGTTCCCTAACGGTATTCATGCATAGGTGAATGTAAAGAAAACGAATCGAATTCGATCTCACCTCTCTACTTTTTCATTCAGGTGTGATATCTATTATACCAACCTCACGCCCAGGAGTTAATCAAAGTGTAGTAGTTAACAATTATTTCTTTACAAACCTCTTCGTGTGTGTAGGGATTTCGATTCTCACTGGGCACTCCGATTATGTAACATCGTAAAAGACTAAATTCATCTTTGCAAAACTATATTTTGAAAGAGTGTGTTTATCAAGGAAAGAAATATTTTTACATTACAAATTAATGGCGCACTGATCTTCGTGGATATTCAACGTCTAATTTTCGCCATTAGATTCTATTTTCATTGTGTGATTAGTTTTTCACTGTCCAATTAGATTAACGAAGGCTTTTATTTATGCAAAATGTCAGCCATTTTCTTCTTCTTTTTCTCCTTTCTCGCTCCCTTCCTTTATTTCCTCCTCTCTATTATTTTCATTTATTTCTTCTCTCTTGTTTTCCTTGCCTTTCATTTTTCTCTTTCTCAGAAAGCTTCACTTTCTTCATTTTCTAAATCTTCCTTTTTTTCTCACCCATTTTTTCTCGCCTTCTTTTTTCTTTCCCTACTCTCCATAATTCCTTCTTCCACCCCTCACCGTTCCTTCTTTCGAATTCATTCTATTTATCTTCGTTTTCCTTCCTTTCAGCATTGTTTATACGTTCATCAAATTCTTCATTTATTTTCTTTCATACCAAGTTTCAGGATCTCGCTTTGCTTCCTTCTTTCCTTTTTTTTTTTATAAATCTTTTCACTTTCTCATTATTTTTCTGTTTTTCTTTTCTCATTTTCGACTTTTTATCCTTTTCCATCTTTTTTTCTTTCCGTTCTTCATTTTCTTTCTTTCTTTTTTTTCTTCCGTTTAGTCTTTTTACTTTCTTGCTTCATTTCTCCTTTGCTTTCTTCTTCATTTTCTCTTTTCTTTCCTTCTTTTTCTCTTTTGCTTTCTTCTTCATTTTCTCTTTTCTTTCCTTCTTTTTCTCCTTTGCTTTCTTCTTCATTTTCTTTTCTTTCCTTCTTTTCTCCTTTTTGTTTTCTTCTTCATTTTCTCTTTTCTTTCCTTCTTTTTCTCCTTTGCTTTCTTCTTCATTTTCTCTTTCCTCTCCTTCTTTTTCTCCTTTGCTTTCTTCTCCATTTTCTCTTTTCTTTCCTTCTTTGTCTCCTTTGCTTTCTTCTTCATTTTCTCTTTTCTTTCCTTCTTTTTCTCCTTTGCTTTCTTCTCCATTTTCTCTTTCCTCTCCCTCTTTTTCTCCTTTCCTCTCCCTCTTTTTCTCCTTTGCTCTCCCTCTTTTTCTCTTCTGCTTTCCTTCTTTTCTTCTCCTTTGCATTTTTTCATTTTCATCATTCCTTACTTCATTTTTTTCTTTTTACCCTTTTCAACATTTTCTACTTTCTTTTCTTGTTTTTCTTCTTCTTCATTCTTTTTTCTTCATTTTCCTTTCTTTGCTTCGTTTTCTTCTTTCTTTTCATGTTCTTCTTTTCTACTTTTTCTTTTCACCGTTTTCTTCTTTTTTTCTCTCCGTCTTCCTCTTTCTATTGTGCTTATCGTATCGATTATTTGACTAGTTTCTCCCCCATCTATGCAACAAAAATTATCGTATCATAGTTTCACTGCAAAAGATATTAATAAAATTCAGATTGAGGCCAAATCGATTTCCCTTGATATCTAGAGAAGAAAGTCTACTTCGACCTTTTCCCCGGATGCACTGGTATCTGCAGCTTTCTATGGCGATATCAATTAATTAAGGTAATATCCATTGATTTCTACCACTGATTAAACCAGGTTCTATGAACTCTTCATAACAAAATCGAACTTTTTTCTTTTCCTTTCTTTTTTTTTTTTTTTTTTTACGGACAAAAATTGAGTAAAGTCAATTGATCTGAAGCAAAGACAAGAATCTTGACCACGGCTTCGGTGATCGAGTAAACATTTTAATGCCAAATTACAACCACGAATTATTAAGATCTAATTCGGAATAAAGAATATTTATTCTTATAATTTGGTTATTGAAGTCACCATTTTTAAGATATTTTTAAAACCAGAGACAATTATTTGAGTATTAGTTACGATTGCACTTATTATTAAGTTGTTCTTTTTTTTTTATCATTTTTTGCTTCTTCTCTGAAAATATTATTTAAGTATAGGTAAGGAACAAAACAGCTTAGAATAAAATCAGAAGAAAAGTCAACAGAAAAAAATCTTAAGACAAAACAGAATTTCGAATGCTAAATTTAAAGCAGGATTTTTTAATCATTTCACCCCAAGGCGATAAAGCCACTAAGATGCAAGGGGTTACAGAAAGTAAAAGAAACTAAGAAAATGTAATGGGGTAGAAAGGAGAATGAAAGAAAAGGGTTAAAACATTCAAAAGATGTCGATTAACGTCACTTTTAAATTTTTTCATAGGTAAATATATATCTTCACTTTCGCTACTTTTAAACACATTAGGACATAAAAAATTTAGCCTCGAGTACTCCCTAAAAAAATTACCCAGCCCATCCATAAGCTAAAATTAATTGAAAAAGTAGAAAGCTTTATAAAAAATAATAAGTTGGAAAACCCATTACTTATTAAACCAGGAACTTAACAATAACACATCACTCAAGGAAAAATACGGATTTAAAACCAAAAATAACTAGACGACTTCGAGAAAGACTTAACTAACTTAGTAGGAAACATAAAATTCCATAAAAAAGAAAATGCCTTCCAAAAAAACTAAAAGAAGATATAACTAGAATAAACAATTCAACAAACATATTTATCGCAGCGGACAAAACTAGAAATTTATATGAACTAATCCCCCTCCCCCAGACAATAAATTACTGAAGGGGAACGTAACTAAAACATACAAAATAGCACCAAAAACAATAGAATACGATATCAACTAGGAAGCTAAAACAATCGACCAAATATTAGGCATAGATGACAGAATAAGTTACATCGGTAAGGCACAAACCTTTATCACACTAAAAGACCACAAAGAAACTTTCAAAACTAATGCAACATGCAGATTCATAAACCCAACCAAAAGTGAACTAGGTAAAATAAGTAAAACGATACTAGAAAGAATTAATTCAGAGCTAAGTTAGAAGTAGGAGTAAATCAGTGGAAAAACACAAAAGCAACTACAATCTGGTCCCGCAAAATGAAAAAAAAAAACAAAAAAAAACAAATATAATTGCCATACAACTAGACTATAATAGAAGCCATGCTAGGTAAGGCCATCACCTTAGCTCAAGAACAAATAAAAATAAACACAAACGAAATCAAAATCATTAAACACTCCCGTAAATCACTACTATTCGACAATGAAGACGCATGGATGAAGAAAGAAGGGATCTTTGACACTACAATGGGAAGCTTTGACGGTGTAGAGAGCTACGAACTCGTAGGTATATATTTACTACACGAACTAAACAAAATAATAGATGGAAATGATACAGGACTCTACAGAGACGACGGTTTCATAATCTTAAGAAACTATAACAAACAAAATACAGAAAAAACAAGTAAAGAATTAATCAAATTTTCAAAAATATAGGATTCGACATAGACATAAAAACTAACCTAAACGAAGTATATTTTCTAGATTTCACCTTCAACCTCAAAAAAGCTATACAGAAAACCAAATGATAAACCACTGTATATACACACATCGTCTAACCACCTGCCATCTATAGTCAATTAACGGCGGGCTTTCCGACAATTCTTCCAATGAAACCATATTTAACCAAATTTAACGAAGCTAAGAAAGACTCCGAAACAGCCCTAAAAGATAGTGGATTCTCGGCAACACTCACATGCACACCAAAGGGGACAAAAATGTCAGAGAAACATCATATGGTTCAACCCACCATACAGCAAAAATGTAAAAACAAACATAGAAAAAATATTCATCAAACTCTTACATAATGTTGTGGTAGGATCCACCTAATTTGCATAGTGGAGTACCGACCATATAAATATGGTTGGTACCGGAAGACTGGGAGAGGGAATCAATAGATTCAATCCAGAGACTCTGCCCGACTGCGACTAAGTCAACACATTCTCCAGGAACGGTCTTCCCAAGAATATACAAAAGACTATATGTAAATATTGTGTACCTTTCTTGTTTCAATACATTTTGTTCTAAGTACATTTTATGTTGTATTATTATTCCATGCATTAGTCAAGTTTCAACACATAAACACTTCCCCCATTCAAGCACTCTCAGCAAAATATTCATCAAAAACACAGAAAAAATCAGCTACATTTGCACCGAGAACATAACACAAATAATAAAAAAGCGCGACAGGAAAACTATCAACAAACCATCCGAACAAATTAAACCCACGTGTAAGTGCAGAATTAAGGACTAATGTCCCTTAAACAAAACAATGTAATATACCAAGCCACGGTAAAATCATCAGATAACAGAAAAAGAAAATACATAGGAGTAACTGAAGGACCATGGAAACAAAGAAACTGCACAAACAAAACATCTTTCATAAATAATAAATACGCGAACAACACAATGTTTTCCAAATATATCTGGGAAATTATAAACAAAAAGCAAATCAAAGCAAAAATATCATGGAAAATAAGGAAAAGAACATCAGCCTAGAACAATCAATCCAAAAGCTGTAAACTCTGCTTGGAGGAAAAAATAGTTATAAGTACTTTCCTAAACCCAAACAAAATACTAAATAAACGATCAGAATTCATCCCAAAATGCCAACACGAAAACAAATTTTTACTTTGTTACTTAAAAATCGAAAACTGAAAAGAATAAATAAAAATAAATAAGCAAAAACAAGTAAAATAAATTAATCCAAATAAAAAAAGTAAATAATAGACAAATTGACAAACCACTTCCGACAAAATAACCGTTAAAATAGACTACCCACAATGTAATAGACTACCCACAATGCAACACAGACCTGTATATATAAATAGTCGAGAAAAAACACAGCGCTGTCGCCTGAGAATGTTGACTTGAATGTTCACTTTTATATATAATATGTCTAAATCACTAGTCTCTTTCCCAAGATAAATTTAAATGCAATGTCAATCGCTATCTACTGTCCTTCTGATTATTCTTTTGTTCCACTCCTTCTCACTAAATCACTTCTCTCTTTCCCATTGCCGCAAGTTCGCCTTTCTATGCCTTTTGTATAAATACACTAATGGTAACTGTTCGGAGGAGCTCTTCACTATGATGCCTAGTCTCCTTGAATTTAAGCGCAGTACTAGACTGGCGGTGAGGTCCCACAAATACCAATAATTTCAGGAAAGAATTCGAGTTCATATATATATATATATATATATATATATATATATATATGAACTCGAATTCTCCCCTGAAATTATTTATGTTTGAAGATCGGACATGAATAAATGTGATGTTTGTCCGTTTCTTATTTATCGCACGGAGTTTTGGCAGGAATCCATCTTTTGTGCTCCTTTCGAATATAAAATTACTGCACCATAACAGTTTGCTAAACAAGCCAAAGCCTTTTGCGTAATGAGAAAACAATAGAGATTTTCTTGGCTTGCCTCTTTATCAAAAGCTAACAACTAATCAACGATGGCAGATGATAGCATGACCATCCCAAGGCAAGACACTTTGAAAATTGTAATCACATAACGGGATGGGATGGGGGGATGCTGTTGTCAAGACTGAAACGTTTAGACTTATATTTAATATTCCTTAAGCTCAGCGCAGTCGGATATAATGACACAAGTGTGGAGCACCCAGAGAGTAACGAATTAACTACAAAAGGAATTGTCTGTCTGACGAGCTTGCGCGCACGCGTGTGTGTGTCAGAGAGAGAGAGAGGGGGGGGAGAGATGGCTATCTCCTCTCACAGTACGAGAAAGGCCACCAAATAGGCCGCCGCAAATGTGATTTCCCCCCTCCGACAACCTTCGGAAGATCGAGGCGACTCACGCTATAGTTAAAAGCCATTCCTAGCTTGGGCAACACTATGGGGTCTCTCAGCAGCATCAGACGGCCTTGATCCAATGACAAGATCCAATCAAGATAATTGGAGACTGATTGTTCCGCATACAATTCAAGTAGTCTTGATTGTAAGACTCCCTCTCTCTCTCTCTCTCTCTCTTCTCTCTCTCTCTCTCTATATATATATATATATATATATATATATATATATATATTGAGCGAGAGAGAGGGAGGGAGAGAGAGAGACTGAGGTTGAGACTAATGTTGAGTGTCGACAGCCTGTTTCATGCTTGAAAGCAATCTTCAGACCATGTGTGCTGTGCGGTGGCTCGTCTATATATATATATATATATATATATATATATATAATTTGAACATTGAATTCAACGCTCAGAAGCAACAGGTGTTTCAAGCTAGACGCAATCATCAGGCCTGATGATTGCGTCTGTTGCCTCTAAGTGTTGACTTCAATGTTCAATTTTATAGTTACATACGCTTTCTCTCTCTCTCGCTCTCGCTCTCTCTCTCTCTCTCTCTCTCTCTCTCTCTCTCTGATATTGATCCTTTATCCCATAAATGTAGCCTACCTTAAAACTATATTTTTCTTCCTATATATATATATAT